AAGGATATTTGGTGAGATTTTTATTTTTTTTTTTTTTTTTTTTTTTAACCTTGGCTATTTTCTGTTGACTTTGAAACTGCAATAAAAATCTACCACTTTGACCGTATTTCCAGGTCACAGTTGAAATAATGGCATAGTAGTTCCACAGAAAACACTTCCATGGAACATCTTGACAGAAGCACTGATAGCTTTGTCCTGCATCACTGCTTTTTCATCTGTTTTTCATGTAGAACCTTCCCAAGCATGTCATCTTGTATCATCTATCTCCCTGACTGTCTTTACTGTGTCTCTAGCTACTCCTGTGCATGGGCACCCTGTGGTGGAAGAGTTATTTGTGATACTGACTTCCTATTTGGGAATATTTGAGACTTTTAAAGAGTTCTAGCTTTGAAATACCCAAAGTTTCAACTAGAAGACCATGTTGGATAAGTATAAATTGTTTTTGCAAAATGAAAAATGACAAAATTAAGGCCCCAAACAAAAAAGCATCCAACAATATCAATTGTTTTTCTAATTATTCAAAAGTGCTACACTGGCCAGCTCTGAAATGTAACAATTGCCATTTTCTGTGCTCAGGAGGGACATGGCAGTTGTCACCCAGAATTTCTTCTGTGCTGGATGTGGAACTCCAATAGAGCCCAGTAAGTATGGGTCCTGGTTTGCTTGCTTGTTACGTGATGGTAAAGCAGAGAATGACAGGGCCGGGCTGTGCATTGCTTTGCTGTGAGACACCGTCAATGAGAATGTTGTAAGAGATTCATGGAGTTTGCCTTTCCTTTCATGAAGAGACTGTCGAGATCCCAAAGCTATGGAGCTAGGAGAACCAGCATCCTAGCTGTACAGGGCATTTGGAAGAACCAACTCCTCCTGCCTCAAGGGTTTAAAGTTGTAACTTCTTTTCCCCAGAATGCCCTCCCTGCAGACCTCCCTGTGGCTGGCCCATGGGCTTCCTTCACATCTTCACCCTTCCCTTCTCCTTCCCCTCCCCTCCTTCTCTTCTTCCCCTTCTTTCCTCCTCCCTTCTCCCCTTTTTTTTATTCTTCTACTTTCTCTTCATCTCCTTCTCCGCTTCCTTGTCTTCCCCCTTTGTGTCAATTCTCAGCCACCTTACGGTTGTACCTGAATGAAGCATCAGCCTGACTCTTAGGGTTAAGGCCAAGAATGGACCTGACCCCTGAGAGTTTGTTCCTTCAGATCTCTCATGGAACTGTGCTTCCCAGCCAAGCCTTGCCCACACTTTTATTCAGTTTCTCCAGCATGACTTGGGGAATCACAAGCTTGGTTCCACCTTTATCAGAGAATCTTTGCCCTCTGAGTCCTAGGCCTAAAATATGTATACACACAAGGTCAAGTATACTTCTTAATTCCTATTGCTTTCAATGAGAATAAGAATGCAAATATGCTGCTTTCAGTGCTTTGAAGTGCTAATTCAAGCACACCCACATTCACCATCTTGGGCAGAGGACAAAGTGGGGTCAGAGGGATCAAGGTAATGTGCCCAGGACACAAGAGCACATGGCTCAGTGATGAGCTTATTTACATTATAAACAGTAGCTTTTTGGTGCACGGTTAAGTCAGAGTCATTAGTCCAGATTCTGCTCATCTTGTCTTTCCTACACTCCTTCTCCACTCCTCTCTTCCTCTTTCTCACCCTCTTCTTCTTCCTCTTTGTCCTCTCTCTGAGTCTTCCTTGGCTGCTCTTAAGAGTATGCTCATCTGGCCACAGATGGTTGCCTGTATACTTCAATGTGACCATCCATCTTACTGTTTACTCTTAGCATGTTATTCCTAGACTACTCTTAAGTTCTCCTGATGGATCATTATCTGTCGGCATCACTAGATTTTAAGTTCTATGAAGGTAGACATGTTGTCAGTTTTGTTAATGTTTTATCTCCAGCTTCTGGAGCAGTGGCTGTTCATAGCTGGTCCTTCAGAGCTACTTGCAGAGTGAATGAATGGCCTGCCAGGAGCTTGCATGACTTCTCTAGTTTGAGGAAAAGACAACTCATTTCTACACTGGCTGAGGCCCTGCAAACCAGTCTTTCCCCAGAGAGGCATACAAGCTTTCCAGCTGAAACTGGGGATTGCTTGTTCTCCAGAGAGGTGCTCTACTTCAAAAGATTGAAAATGAAAGCAGAAATCAGTCCAGGCTTCCTCTATTCACTAGATAATGCCGGATACAAATCACAGTTATAATGAGTTTTCTTTAAATGACTAATTTTCCAGCTAGTCTAGCCAGGGGCATGTCTGTTAGTTAATCTCTATGTCTCACCACCTCACTAAAGGTCAAATCCATGAGTCAGACACTACAGACACGACTCTGACTCCACCAAATGTTAGTGCCTTCCTAAGTGTATTCAGATACAGAACTGTGTGTCTGCACTGTTGTTACATAAATGATGCTGCCCTTGGGTCTGCTTACCATTTTGTAAGGAAAGATATAAGGAAAAGAGAAAGGCAAGATTGCTGTGGAATTTGCAGTGTAGGAATTTAATCTGGGCTGGGGGTGGAGAGGGGAGCTAGAGGTTATATAAAGAAGTAATTGTCTCCAGGATGTGGGGTGTGTAACATGTGCAAGGGGCCTGTGGTAGTTGGAAAGCAGACTGAGAAGAGGAAACACACTGCAGAACAGCTGTAACATGATGTTACTGACTATGCAAATGATTTTGAGTGTTTCCTGCAAACTTCCCCTGGCTCTTAGGATCATTTTAACTTTACAGTATGAGATCATTTATAATTAAAGAAGAATTATGAAAAAAGTAGAAAGGACCCAAAGCCCTGTTCCTTCAGCTTCTGTCAGTGGCAATTACAGTGCAATTGCAACATCTGAGATCCCAGAACTAAACTGCAGACTCTACCAGATTTCACCAGATCATCCCCGAGGACCTTTGTCTGTTTCAGAGTTCAGTCCAGAAATCCAGGCTCCATTCAGTTGTCCTACTTCCTCAGCCTCCTCCTGTCTCCCACACTGAACCTGACATTTTAGCCTCTTCCTGCTTTGTCTGCATCTAGTGCACCCCCATCTGCTATTTGCATGGCATCAGTGATGGCTCACCTTCCTACCCAGTTTCCAATTTAGCTTTGTGCAGTGCATCTAGTTACCATTTCTCTTTAGTCAACTTTATTCTAGAACTACTCCATCCAATATGGCAGCCACTTGTCCACATGGCTTCATATAACCAATTGAAATGTAAACTTTAGTTCCTTAGTCACACATTTCAGTGCTTAGTAGCCCATTTGCCCATACTACTGTGTTGGGCAGCACAGGTACAGAGTGTTTCCTTCTGTCTGTTTAGAAAGTTTTATTGGACAGCTCAGTTTTAGAAATTTTCTTCCATGTCATTAACATCAAAAGGTAAGAACAAACTAGGCTGGATATGGTGGTGCTTGCCTTTAGTGCCTTTAATTCCAGCGCTCTCGGGAGGCAGAGGCAGCAGATCACCGTGAGTTCAAGGCCAGCTTGTTCTACATAGGAAATTCCAGGCCAGCCAGGCTATATAAAATACAACACAAAACAAAACCACCACCAACAACAAAAAGATAAGAACAATTGCTATTTAGAGTGGTTTCTTGACTTCAGGTTCTGTTTTAATCAGTGCCTTAGGAAGCTTAGAAGGATGGAAATAATTCATTCTATATTAATGGTATAGCACAGTGTGCATTCAGTGATGTGATGAATGAGTGACTGAGGTGTTGGGATTTCAGACGTTAAGGAAAGATGGCTTATATGTGTTAGAAAATGTTAGATCAGGATTGACCAGGGCAACGTGAATGTGAAGGACGAGACCAAGGAGCAGAGTGTTCTTTGTTAAGAACAATGAAGATGGCGACAGTTTTGGCATGGGATTTGTGCCGCTAGGCACAGTTGGTTGGCTGCTTATAAGGATTGGGGGATTGGGAAAGGGAGGGGTTGGGGTAAGACTATTTTCATAGTTCAATGTAATTGCTTGCAATATGGTTTGGGGGTTTTGAGACAAGAGGGGCTGTTGTTTTTCCCAGATAACACAGTCTCTGGGTTGGGGTTTTCATACAGCTCCTGGATTAGATTTTAGCTTGATCTGAGGTTTACCTGAGGTTTATATGACCTGTATGGGGTCCTTTGGAGTCTAGGCATTTATCCTTCAAAATCAACAAAATATTTATTTTTATTTTTATTTTTTATTTTTTGGTCTTTTTGAGACAGGGTCACCCTGTAGCCCCAGCTGGCCTAGAACTTGCTATGTAGACCAGGCTGGCCTCAAAATCCCAGAGATCTGCCTGCCTCTGCCTCCCAAGTGCTAGGATTAAAGGTGTGCGCCACCACACCCGGCATCAAAATCAGCAAAAAATTATTAGCCCTCCTGCCTTTTTTCTCCTTCCATTTTGCTAAGCCTGATTGATGATGCAGATTACAGGGCCAGAGGCTACCCTTATGTTTGTTTAGTGCTGTACTTTAAAATTTTTGTGTTTTGTTGGAGATTTGACTGTTTAGCATGCCCTCTCTCTGAGGGATAATTCAGGAAGTGCAGAGATGTTAGCGCCTCCTTCTCCTTCTAGTTGCCTGTATGATGACTGGGAAAGCTGGCGATGCTGGAGCTTGGGTAGCCTCAGCTCGGATTCACATGCAGCTTTCTGGCTCACTGCCTGTGTGTCCCTACCCTGTCACTTGGCTTTACTGGCTTGTGTTTTCATCAATGAAAGAGGGAAACCAAGCTTCATATGTCATGGAGTTTCAAGCACAGAATGATATATATTTGCCATTTAACCAGTGTGTGGAACAGACTAAGTGCCTAATAAAGTTTTGCTTGTGAGGTCACTTGGGTCTTGTTTATTCTTCAAAGAATTATTTGGAAAACTGCAATCAGAATCTATAGTGTGCTAGGTAGTGTAGTCACTGCCTTCCCATCCATTACCTTGTTACTTTCCACCATGAATGTTAACACTATTCCACCTTGTGATAATTACAAAGAGACACAAGTCAAGTCAGGAAGGATAAATAGCAGGTTCATGTCAGGTGCTAAGGCTGAGAGGGCGCCACAGGAGACTTAGGCGGAATGTTTCCCTCTTGGTCCAGGCACTGAGAGCACAGTGTTGGTCACATTCATCTCTACATATTATGTTTGACAAAATATTTTATTAGAGAGATTTCAGAAGCGATGTGTATTTGTTTCAGCAAATTTAAAAGTGCAAAGAACAACAAAATTATTTGCCCTTCACTTCAGAGACAAAGACTGTTGGCTTTTGGTGAGGATCTAGGCTGGCTGTGTGTGTGTGTGTGTGTGTGTGTGTGTGTATGTGTTTGTAATCTATTTTTAAAAAATTGAGATCACATTGTGTTTACCTGTAACTGGACCTGCACTTCCCATGGTCTTCTACTTTCTTTCTAGCCAATCTGATATTTCAAAGGACATTTGGTTGCTGTTCTTTCCCCAATATCAATGTTCTGTAGCAAAGACCTTCATGTAGCTCTATGTGCCCATTTGCATTTCTGTCTAGTGGAGCCACAGGAGGATTATTGCTTCACATATAAGATAAAAATGAGTCTTGGAAATGTCCTCCTGGGAGGCGCTCCATCGGCCCCAGATTGGGAACCCTCTCCATGCTTCAACTTCTCTGTGTCTTTTAAATCTGAGGCAGCTCAGAGCTTGCCATTGAGTGAACATGCATTGTTTTGATGGTCATAGAACCTGGGTGATTCCCGCATCTCTCTCTGTTACCTGCATTTCTTTTCTTTATGTATTACCTGATCCCACCCACTGCTCATTTTTATAATCTTTCCATCTCTTTGATTTATAAGACATCTCTCTCTGTTACCTGCATTTCTTTTCTTTATGTATTACCTGATCGATCCCACCCACTGCTCATTTTTATAATCTTTCCATCTCTTTGATTTATAAGACACTCTTTTGGAGGCTGACTAAAACTAAATGCATATTGCTCTAGAATTTCCAGTGCTTTCTTTGTATGTGGGAAATCACTGAATATAGATATGAGCTATGTTTGTATGTGGGCTATCACTGAACGCAGTTCCGAGCTGCATTCATATGTGGGATATCATTGGACCTGGTTTTAGGCTGTGTTTCATTCGCCTAAGCATTTCTGAGCTGCCCTCAGAGTTTCTGCTAGTAGCAGGTGGAGTCTGCATCCCAGCCAGATCTCTAGATGCTAAACAGAATGTGTTTAGACACACTGTAGTTTGCTATATTCATCTTCAAGTCCAAGAGAATCTTATGGAGGGCTCTGTTTCTCTGACATCTGTTCCACCTCGGCAAAGCTCATGAAAGGCCACAAATGCAGTCTCAAGTCACTGCTGCAGCCATCCCACTTACAGTTGTGGTGGCTTTGCCACCATGAGCAGTCATCTGGGTCTGCACCTTGCCTAGGAATGGGAGCAGGAGGTGGCTCAAGGTAGATTCTTGGTGTCCTGCACATGGCCTCACATTCCCGTCCTCTCTACAGAGTTAGTAAAGCGGCTCCGGTACTGCGAGTACCTAGGCAAGTATTTCTGTGACTGTTGCCACTCATATGCGGAGTCCTACATCCCTGCTCGGATCCTGATGACATGGGACTTCAGGAAGTACCACGTCAGCAATTTCTCCAAATGGCTGATTGACAGCATATGGCACCAGCCCATCTTCAATTTACTGAGCCTCAGCCATAGCCTTTATGTAAAAGCCAAGGAACTGAACAGGGTGAAGGTAAGCAGGTGCCTCCATGAGGGAGGAAGCGAGTCCGTAGGTTAGAAATCCTATGGCAGAAAATGCATGTCAGTCTAGTTTCAGGGTGTTCCTAGACCCTCCATGAGGTAGATGGACTGTGAGCTGAATGATCTTAGAGCCCCTCATCTGGCTCTTTCCAAGGCTGTACAATACCTGAGTCCATCAAGGGCTCTGTGGATCTGAGGACTTGGTCATGAACCCTTGCTGAAGGAGCTGTTCGCTTTCTAAGATTTTTTTATTTTAAACCAGGGTAGTACTTCACATAACTTTGAACCATTCCCAGTGTCCTTTGCCTCACATCTTCTAACCCCGTGTTTGGTTTCCCATGCCAGGACATGCAGGAACAACTTTTTCATATCAAGAAGCTGTTGAAGACTTGCAGGTTTGCCAAAAGGTATGGTCCGTGGCTGGGCCAGTCTGCATCGCTGCCTCCTGTCTGCTTGTCCTCCCAGTACTTCCTGGGGCCTCTTGCACCTTATCTTCCTTGTAGCTCTCCTTGGGATGCAAAGTACCTCTTTGAATGACTAAACCCACTAAATCACCAGTGGAGAATTTGATTGTTAAACAGAATGGGGTGGGCTAGGGATGTAGCTCAGTAGCCAAGTGCTAGAACTATCACCTAATGTGCAAGACCCTGGTTGACCCCCAGCACTGAAAGAAATGGAGAAAACTGAATAAAAAGAGTGGGGTGTTGTAGCTTAGGACATTAATCCCAGCACTCGGGAGGCAGAGGCAGGTGAATCTCTGTGAGATAGAGGCCAGCCTAGCTTACATACCGAATTCCAGGCAAGTTAAGGCTACAAAGAGACCCTGTCTCAAAACAACGACAACAAAGAATTTAAAAAGGAGAGGATGGGATAAAAGTGAAACACCTGTATCAGTGGCTATGGTATAAATATAATATGAACATCATAAATACAATAATAAATTATGATAAATAGGCATAGCAAAATTTTACCCTCAGAGCAATGCAGTTCAGTGACACTGAGCACATCTCTGTTGTGTTGCTATCACCACTATCCATCTGCAGAACTCTTTCTATCTTGCAAAAATCCAAACTCTGTAACTATTAGATACTACTTGCCCTTTCCCTTCTTTCTCCACCCTTGGCCTCTCGCAACCTACTTTATTTCTTTAGGAAGTTGAGTACTCTAAGTACCTCATATAAGTAGGATCATCGAATATGTATCTGGATTATTCATTAGCACTGTCCTCAAGCTCCATCCATGTTGTAGCATGTGTCAGGATTTTCTTCCTTTGGAAGGCTGAAGAGTATTCCATTGTGTCTTTTATTCATTCATGGAAGGACAAGGGTTGCGTCTGCTTTTTATGAGTACCACTGTTTTGTGCATGAGTGTGCCTGTGACCTGTTAAAATCCCCTTACAGAGAAGTGGGAGGCATGTCAAATGGGGTGAGAGCATGGCTTTTGGAAACTACTTCTCAAAGCTTACCCTAAGGATATTGTTATAGAAATGGGAAGGAATTTAGGTAAAATTTTTAAAAATTTTAAAAATTTTATGTGTATGAGTATATTGCCTGCATTATGTAAATGCATCTCTGTCAAGCAGTGCTCACAAAGGTTAGAAGAGAGTATCAGCTTCCCCTGGAACTGGAGTTACGGACAGTTGTTAGCCACCATGTGGGTGTTGGGGAATTGAACCTGGGTCCTCTGCAAGAGCATCTAATGCTCGTAACTGCTGAGCCATCTCTCCAGCCCTTAACTAAAATTTTAAAGAACAAAATGACATGGAAGTTTACTAAGTGTTCATTAATAGGCTAATACTTAAATTTATATCACATACACAATATTAAATGCAAGCATCCAATAAAAGTGTAGACATGAATTTATGGAGTGTGTGTTTTTGAGTGTGCGGAGGCCAGAAGTTTATGTTGGGTGTCTTCCTCAATAGCTCTCTATCTTTTTGAGACAGGGTCTCTCAGTCAACTTGGAGGATACCAATTGGATTACTCCAATGAGTTCCAGGGACCCTTCTGTATCTACCCCTGCCCCCCACCGCATGGGGATTATACTGCAGGGCCCAGCTTTTTATGTGGTGTTGGGAATCTGAATTCAGGTCCCCATGCTTGTACAGCAAGCACTTTATGACTGAGCCATCTCTCCAACCTCAAGAGAGATTTTTAGATTTTTATTTTATGTGTGTGAGTGTATTGCCTACATTTGTATAAGTGCACCCATGCTGTGCAGTGCCCAAGGAGGTCAGAAGACTGTCGGAGCCTCTGGAACTGGAGTTACAGACGGTTGTTAGCCACCATGTGGGTGCTGGGAACTGAACCCAGGTTCTCTGCAAGAGCATTTGGTGCTTTTAACTACTGAACCACCTCTCCAGCCCCCCAAGAGAGATTTTTAACTAGGAGAAAGAGTAGGTGACTCGGAATTGTTATAATAAATGAGATCATAGACTTAAATTTTTTGACATTTGTTTTAAGGTTGATTTCAGTTCCTGACCTTTATTTCATGGTGATATTTTGCTTTTAAGTTAAGTTTCTTGGGAAGAAGCATGAGTACCTGGTCCTCCTTTGTCCATCCCCTCCTCTATCTTCTCCTCCCTCATTCTCCATTCCTCTATCCTCCCTTCCTTCAACCTCCCCTCTTCCACGCTCTCCTCCTCCATTCCTCCCTCCATCTTTCCTCCAACCTCTCCTCCTCCATCCCTCCCACCTTTATCCTCCCTTCTTCCATTCTCCCCTCCTCCATCTTCCCCTCTGTCCTCCCCTCCTCCACTCTTGCTTGTCTGTCTTCCCCCCGTCCTCCCCTCCATCCCTATCTATCTCTTCTATCCACCCTCCTCTACCCTTCTCTCCTCCTATGCATGTGAGTGCTTTCTGAATCCCCTGGCTTCCTCTCTGGCAGAGCACTGAAGGCCTTTGAGCAGGTTCCCAGCCACTTGACTGATGAGTGCCACCTGTTCTCATTGGATGACTTCCTCAGGACCAAGAAAGGGCTGCTGGCACCCTTGCTCAAGGACATTCTGAAAGCCTCACTTGGACATGTGGCCAGCTGTGAGGTGAGGGCTCGCCTGTAGGTGCATCCCTGATCCTATTCTATGCCAAGACCTGTACTGGGGATGGTTGTTCCTCATTGGACACCTGACCCCACTTAACTCTCACAGCCTTGACTAGAGGGCTGTAAATCACTGTCCTGTATTAGCTGACCAAGGTAATACAGGGACTTAAGCTGGGGCCCTGTAGCTTTGTGGTCTGAGTGCCCAGACCTTGTCAAAATCTACTCTGTCCTGAAACAGCCACATGGGATGTGCATTTTCTCTCTGTTTTGTTCTGATCTATTCTTTTGACAGCTAAAATCATAGACTTTGAAAAATTGATGCATCTACAGTTCTGCGTAAGAGGTAGCGTAGCTTCCCATCAGGAGACGCGTTACCAACTTGTGACTTTCTAATGTCTTTTGCAGCTGTGCCAGGGAAAGGGTTTCATTTGTGAATTTTGCCAGAGTACAACTGTCATCTTCCCCTTTCAGACCATGACCTGTAGAAGATGTTCAGGTATTCTAATAACTTTAATCACATAATCGTAATAGTTTAACTTAATTGCAAAGTTAATTTAATCACAATATTCACTTAAGCTGAATAATAATACCTTAATCACTTAAGCAATTATTTATTTATTTTTTTTTTTGGTTTTTTTTGAGACAGGGTCTCCCTGTAGCCCCAGCTGACCTGGAACTTGCTGTGTAGATCATGCTGGTCTCAAATTCACAGAGATCCTCCTGCCTTTGCCTCCCAAGTGCTGGGATAAACTCAGCAATTATTTATTTATAGTGATGCTGGTGTGTACTTGTGGTGGATTGGAGATGGTACAGTTTGGGGCACCCAGGAAAGAATATTTGGTGAGGCAGGGATGAAGAACGATGTCTTTTGGGGGTTTGGATGGAGGAGATGGTCCCAGTTTGGCCTGTGCCCACCCCAAGTTTGTAATTGGATGGCAACCCTTCAACATAGAATTGTTGTCTCTGTTTATGGAGTAGAGCAGCTGTTACAGAGATCAAATGGGGTCCAAGGCTTAGAAAGAGCTACTTGATTCTTTGTGTATGTGGTCATATGTATACAGTACAGGAGCATGTATGTGGAGGCCAGAGGTCAACCTTGGGTGTCCTTCCTCAGGCACCATCCATCTTGTTGTTTTTGAGAAAGGGTCTCTCACTGGTCTAGAACTCACAGATTATGCTAGGTTGACCTGTGAGCCCCAGGGATCCTCTTGCCTCTACTTCCCCAATGCTGGGCTTATGGACATATGCCATCACACCCAACTTTTTATGTGGGTTCTGCAGGGTTGCACTCAGGTCCTTGTGCTTCTGTGGTAAGCACTTTACCAGTGGAGCTATCTCCGCAGTCACACTGTTTGTCTCCTCACAGGAAAAATTTGCTGATCCTTATTAAAGCCTAAAGGAATCCTATGCTCTCTAAATTCTGTCACATGGGAGAGATTTTTGGCAGGGACACCTGCCTTCACCTTTATATGAGCGTGGCCTCTTTTTAGACTACTCCAGAGTTGTCTTCTCTAACTCTCAAAGCAGTGTTGCAGGACAGTCCCCAGAAAAGAGACTTGAGGCAGGAATTTCCAAGCCAGAAGTCATTCAATATCTGTGAAGATGTGGAGTCAGCAGGATTGGGGCATTGAACAATGGCAGGTTGCAAGAAGCTCTGGCCATCTCACAGAGCTTGAGGGCTGGGGTAGCATTTCAGCATTGTCCCAACTTAGAGCAGAGATGACAAGGTTTTCAAACCACAGGGACCAGTCACCGGATACAGGCTGATGCCAGGGAGGGAGCATGACTTTGGATGAGGTAGCCCATCCATTTAGAGGCATTTCCAGAGAAGCAGTGCCACCTGCCAAGAGCCGTCAGCCACCAACTTAGAGGGTAGGGGATCTACCCCTGGTGCTTGGGTTGGCCTGGAGGTGTGTGGCATCACCCAGAGCCTCATGATCAGGAACTACTGGACAATTTATAATCCTGGGAGTTTTAGTGTGGCCGATTTCTTTTTGTAAGACTCTGGGTTCTGGATTCAGATTTCTTCCCAACCCACCCTAGGATGGGCATGAGTATCCATAAGTATGTGAGAAAATAAACTGCCACATTTGCTGACTGATCACCTTGCTTGCAGCTTGCAGTGCCTGCTTCCACAGACAGTGCTTCCAGTCCTCCGGGTGCCCCCGCTGTGCCAGGATCACAGCCCGGAGAAGACTTTTGGAGAGCTTGCCCTCTGCCACAACATGATGGCCCTGAACATTGTCCAACAGGCCTATGATGGTATTGATTTGTGTCTATTAACATTGTTAGTAACATTGTTTTAGATATTAAATATGTTATGTTAAGAAAAAATATCAAAATTTCTTTCATTGAATATATTTAATTTTCTCAGAGTACAGAAGTTTGTCACTAAGCATAGGTTTGTTACTAAGGATTTGTTTACAAATGCTTGATGATTTTGCTGCTATGGGTCTATTTCCAAAAAATTCTTTTGATACTTAAATTGTATTGGGGTAGTTGTATTTAGCTAAATACACAGCCTATTTTTTTTATGACTTGTGACTGACGTGATGAAGTACTCTTCCTTTACAGTTGCTTGTGAAACTGATTAGCACTGTAAGCCAACAAAATACAACTGAAATTCTGTTTGACCAAGCTTTTGTTCCTTCAAGAAAAAGACTTCTACTGAATACTATTTTATGATTGTGTCAGTTTCCTGTTTTATTTATTCCACAGTCTACGTACAGTACATGCTTCCTCTGTAGTTTGGTTCCTTTCTAGATGACTTTGCCTTAGCAGTGAGTAGATGTCTGGTGAGGTGCAGTTAGAAGCAGCTACCTTTAGCTGGCGCTGTTTCAGGAGCACACATCCAGCCTGTGTATCATCTCTACTCTACATGACTCAGGCTAGTCCAACTCAGACTAGTTGAACTAGTCAATGCTAGATCAAGGGAGTCAGAAGCAAAAACTTTGTTCTAGCTCTTCAGAATCTAGTTTCATAGAAAAAAAAATCTGTGGCTGGAGAGATGGCTCAGTGGTTAGGAACACTGGCTGCTCTCACAGAGGACCCAGGTTCAGCTCCTAATACTATAGGGTGGCTAATAACCATTCAGAACTCCAGTTTCAGGGGATTGGACACCCTCTTCTGGCCTCCAAAAGCACTGCATGACATGAACACAATTGCATACATGTAAGGAGACACTCATACACTTAAAGTTAAAAAAAAAAAAACTGAAGCCAGGGTGGTGACACATGCCTTCAATCTCAGCACTTGGGAGGCAGAAGCAGGCAGATCTCTGGGAGTCTGAAGTCAACCTGGTCTACAAAATGAGTTCTAGGCTAGCCAGGGCTATACAGTGAGGCCCTGTCCTCTCCCCAACAAAAATACAACTGAGTAAAAAGAATTTGAAAACAAATAAAATTGTGATAAAATATTCTTTTTTTTTAATTTTTTTGGTGTTTGTTTTGTAAGATAGGGTCTTGCTAAGTAGCCCAGGCTGGCCTTGAACTTGCCTCCAGCCTCCATGTCCTGAATATTGGGACCATAGGTATATGTTGTTATACCCAGCAAGAAGGAACTCTTCCTGAACAGTGTAGTCCCAATCATGACATTAAAATCATGGCATCCATTAATAAGTGTAGGGCTTACTTTTCTTACAAAATACCTGACGGAATACCTGACAGAACCGACTTAAGGGAGGAAGATTATTTTGGCTCATAGTTTCAAAGGGTTTTGTCCCTTATGGTGGGGAAGGAATGGTGGAGTTCATGGCAGCAAGAACATATGGCACAAGCTTGCTCACACTGCAGCAGGCAGGAAATAGCGAAACCAGAACCAAGGCTGGCCTATACCTTCAGAGGCCTATCCCAGTGACCCACCGCCACCAGCCAAGCAAGCCTCTGGCCCCAAAGGTTCCAAACCTCCTAGTTACGGACCAAGTGTTCAAGCACATTAGCCTGTGAGGGCATTTCACACTCAAACAGCAAAGTTTAGTGGATCACAAAACCCCTGTAAATTTCTTTTTCCTAATATTTCTCAGTTACATGCTTATTCAAAACATGTAAGCCAATTTTCCCCTTCTGTCTCCTATTTACTTTCCCCTGCTCAGGGAGGGGACCCAGCCCCAGGTCCCTTTCTGAAACATCTTCAGGCTGAATGGTTCTCAATACTTGGGTATTATATGCCCCAGCACCCACATGGCTAGGTGTATTAGTTACTTTTCTGTTGCTGTGATAAAACACCATGACCAAGGCAACTTATAGAAGGAAGAGTTTATTTGGCTTACAGTTCCAGAGAGATAAAAGACTGTTGTGGAGGAGAGGGGGAGGCATAGCAGGAGGCAGCCAGAGCAGAAAGCTGACAGCTTACATCTTCAAGAAGGAACAGGAAGCAGAGAAAGGGAACTGGAAATGGGGCAAGGCTTAAGCCCATCCCCTTTCTCCAGCAATGCCACGCCTCCTAAACCTCTGCAAACAGTGCTACCACCTGGGGCCAAGTATTCAAATACTTGGAGCCTATGGGGGACGTTCTCATTCAAACCACACCAGGCCTGATGTGCTTCTCAAACAGCACAAGCAGGCAACAAAGAGCTGTCCCCAGCCCCCTTCCAGTCCTGTGTGTGTGTGTGTGTGTGTGTGTGTGTGTGTGTGTGAGAGAGAGAGAGAGAGAGAGAGAGAGAGAGAGAGAGAGAAAGATAGAGATAGGAGTATGTTTCAGTGAGATCATATTGAGCACACTGAAAGAAATGAGTGTCTCCCCTCAATTCTCTCCTTCTACCATACAGGTCCTGGTGATCAAACTCAGGTTGCCAGCTTTGAGTGAAAATTCCTTTACTTGTCTTGCTGGCTCACATATCTTTTTAACTTAAAAATTATTTTTAGTGTATGAATATATTGCCTGTATGTGTGTAAGTGCACTTGTGTTGTGCAATGCCCTTGGAGGTCAGAAGAAGGAGTCGGATCCCCTGGAACTGGAGTTACTGATGGTTGTTAGCTGCCATCTTAACCACTGAGCCATCTCTCCAGCCCCCGCATATCTTTTTTAAAACACATGTATGTTTGTGTGAGTGTGCGTGTGTGTGTCATGTTTACGCAGTTGCATGTGCGTGTGTAGGGAGGAGGATAACCTTGAGTATCAACCTCAGGAATGCTAACCAACTACTTTGAAACAGTGTCTCCCATCGGCCTGGAACTCACCAATAAGGCTAAATTGGCCATGGAGTCCCAGGGACCCTCCTACCTCTGCCTCCCCAGAGCTGGAATTACAACCACTCACGACCACACCTGGCATTCACGTGGGTTCCAGGATGGAATTCAGGTCATTGTGCTGGCAGGGCAAAGACTTGCAGCCTGAGTGTTCCTCTCAGCCCACCTTATGCATCTTTGATATTGAGGAAGAGTATACAGTTTCCAGGAAATGATGCTTTTGATTTCTCATTTTGAGGAAGAATGAGGTAATTTGAATAAATGTTCTGCAGCTTCCCCAAGCTCTTGGTTCTCACCAATGAGGTAGTTGAGGCTTCTTCCCAGTGAGGCACCTATTAGAATAGAGAAATGACTCTCAGCCCACTAGCAGCCCCTGTAGGGAAGCAGTTAATTGTGGCATCCATTACTATTCGATGTGATTTCCTCCCTGGGTGATCCTCCTGCTCAGCTTTTCCTTGAACTGGAAGGAAGAGGAAAGCTTGGTGTTTCCCTCAGACCATCATCCACTGTGAGGCACTGAGTGGTGACTGACATCCTGCTTCCACACTCCTCACTTGGACAAAGGTGCCATTTACAGTCACGGTTAACCTGTAGGCAGAGTGTGGCATCACCTTGAGCAGCAGAGGCGGGTGAGGAGGGTCCACCTTCCTAGACACATTGTGTCTGCTGTGTTGACCTGGGAAGAATCATTGTTCAGGACCTTGCATTGCCTCCCACACCTGCTGCTTCCTATCTGGGTGACCCTCGACATGAAGATTAGGAATGAAAATGAAGTGTCCAGCAAGGGAACTACGGCAGGCAAGGGGAAATAAGCCATCATTAAGTACAAACATTATAAACAGAATCAACCATCTTTTCTACAAATCACTGGATAAGTTGCCCTGAGTTTCAGTTTGCAATCTACAATCTAATAAAAGAATCAGAATAATACTGTTTTGGGTTGATTTGTCCTCCCGTCCCCCAAATACGTAAGAATTCTTATTCCAGGTACCTGGCCTACTAAGGTCTTTGTGACTGTATTTAAGTTCAAGGGAGATTATGTTAGATCAGGATGAGTTTGATCCAATGACTGGTGTCTTTATAAGAAGGAAATTTGGATAGAGCCTTTGTAGACACAGGGAAAGACAGAGACAGGGGTTGAGGGGATTACATCTGCAAGCCAGAGAACACCAAGGACTGCTAGCAACCACCAGAAGCTAGGAGAGAGACCTAGGACAGAGCCTCAGATCAGAAAGAGCAACACCAGACAACACAGCTACCTCCTTGTATGCAGACTCTGGCATCCAGAACTATATGAGAGAGTAAGTTCCTGCTGTTTAAAACTAAGTTTGTAGCCATTTGTTATGGCAGCCCTGGGAACTAAACACATCTGCTATTTGAGGTCGTCATGAGGGTTCACCTGTGGAGACACAACAAATGAACTCTGAAAGGTGATGATGGTGAGAGACCCACACTAGACACAGACAGACCCAAAGCACAGACTGGAGCTGAACACTGCTCCTCACACCTATCTCTTCAGCTGGAGATGTCTGCTTGCCCTCCAGCTGTAGGGGACTTGGATTTGAAAGTCGTGGTTTGATTCACAGTGGAGGGTAGGTGAAGCTGACTGTTATCCACATGAATTACCTACAGGTCCATGTTAATTTTCAGATGTAAGAGAAATTCAACATAACCTTCAAACAAATCTTCCCTTCCCTCACAGTTCACATAAGGCTGAGGACAAACAGCTGTGGGACAGTGAGGCCATCTCTTCTAAATGTGTTAGTTTTCTGCAACTGTGAGAGAATATCACAGATTGGGTTTGTTACAATGAAAATAAGTTTAGTTGGTTTATGGTTCTGGAGTCTGGGAACTCCAAGAACATGGTGCCAGCATCAAACATGGTGGAAGGAGAGGTGACCCCATGTGAGAGAGACAAAGCAAGGTCAAATTCAGCCTTTCATTAGAAACCCATTCTTGTGGTGAAAGCATGAGTGACTTCATGAGGCAGAGCTCTCATGACATAAACACCTCCCAGAAGTCCCTCCTGTTAGAGATGGGTCTGGGGCCTCAAGAAAATGACCACACAATTCAGAGCTTTTTTGCAAGGCAAAGAGTTTTAACTTCTACAGAAGGATACACAGCCGTGCCAAACCCAGCAGGCAAACACACCCAGCAGAGGTACCACTGGGTTTTCATTCCTAAAGGAAAGGGGGCCTGTGCCTCACCCTGAGTGGTCAGAGCTCGGCCTCACATTCTTATGCAGTTGACTGACTTAGAGTGACTCAGTTGATAAGCAGAGTGCAGTTTTCAGCACCCAGCACAACCTTGAACACATATTTTGCTTTCAAGAAGTGTTGACCTTGGAGGAATTTGAATTTTTACCCAGCAGCTTCTTTGTATTTGTTTTCGCGAAGTTTCATCTTATTTAACCCATTTATAGAAAAGACAGTGCATTTCTTTTACAGTTCCCACACTTCCCTCAACACTGTTACCATGGCAACTAAATTTCCATAT